TTGATAGCATGAATGCTGCTTGAATATTGTGAGGGAGTATTTTCAAACAGGGAATGTATAAAAAGGTGAAGAAATGAAAAATCATGATTATTTCAAGATTATCAAAAAAAAATGTAGATGATCCAAATAACCCAAAAATATATAACTTTACATAACCCAAAAACTCCCCATAATTAGAAGATTAGGAGATTTTAAAGAAAAAAGAACTTAAAATTTCCTCCTCTAAAGCTAAAATCCCAAAATTATTTTTGTCCAATTGTTTCTCATAAGGTCATTATACTATAATCTTTTGTTCCTATTTTTATACGCTAAATGCTAAAATCCTAAAAGGAGTCAAACCACAAGATAAATTTTTTAGATACATATTTTCATTGCTCATCTGTTTATTTTTAAACATTGATATCAGCTTTAATGTTGAACCAGAATATGATAGTACCAAAATTTTACACAGCCTCTAAAGATCGTCTAAGAGAGCTTACTCTATTATTATAGATGATAACGATTTTAGAAGTACCTTTATGTATCGATTTCTTTAAAAGGCAACAATTATGCTTAGAGAGAAACAATTTGGAAGAAGGTTTCTATTTATGTAAACGACTACTAAAACATAAAAACCGACTTCCTTTGAGACATATGATATAATTAGAGAATACCTATATTAAAACTCATTTTGATAAAGTTAAACTTTAATTTATAACTTTAAATATAAGGAAGTTTTAATATAGTAAGAAATTTATCTATAATAGATTACAATAGTGGTTAACTTTAGTTAAACCACTACTAATAAAGTCATTGATGATATTTGGTTATAATTTTGATTCTTTGTCACCTGTTTATTCAATCTACTAATTTATATTTAGATAGAATCAAGTTTATATTCTTAAGAGGTCAGTCATAATAATTCCGACAAGATTTTGGTTGAACTTAAAAGGAATGATTTTTTTCGAAAGTGCTCTTTGCAATAATGGCTTCTGTCTAAAATGGCAATTAAATGATTTATATTCATTATGAGATTCTCTTATAGACATCACTTTGCCTGAAGAAGTGCTATTATGATTGACGACCTTTAGTTGTTTTGTGAAACATTACTGTAAGCTATATGATGACTGTGATGAATCTTTTAAATAAATAGATCAATTAGCAAGTAATCAATATACTCAGGCATGTATATTAAGACTAATATATCATTTTAATAATGCCTTACTTTATACAAACGAATTCTTATTTCTATTAGCAATTATAAAATTAATTTCACAATGAGCACCCCATAAATTAAAAAAAAATGTATTAAATAATATAAACCCACTTATTTGTTTTAAAATAGAGTAAAATTCAATATTTAAAATTAATACTTATCCTGGATAATAAACTAAGTTCTGTTTGTAAAATTCTAATAATTTTATACTAAATAAACACAATATATAATTTTTTTCAATTTTTTCTAATTCTATTGATGCCTTGCCTAGACATAAATATGATTAAACTTTAAATCTTTGATCTATTTCTAAAATTAACCTTGCTTTGGCTTAGTTTATAGTATTTTGACATTTTTCAATATTTTTCACTTTTAATCCAATTCATTCTTGTTATTAGATGAAAATTTTGGTAATTTACTCATTCGTTTTTCATTAAATATATCAATTGAACTAATTAATGCTGAAATTTATTTCTCAATAATTATTTAATAAAATTGAAGTTATTTCTATTTTTCATCATGGATTTTATCCCTTCCAACAACAAAATTTATTAAATAGCACCTTTTTTTCGTAACAATCTTAACAAAAAAGGAAATCCTTAATTATAATTTCTCATATTTTTTATAGCAGAAACCAAGCTCAAACTGTAGAGTTTTAATAGATTAAAAGAATTGAACCTTAATTAAAAATGTGTAAAAACTTAGGAATTTAGTATATTACAAATCTTCAAATTTTTATTAAACTGTTTAAACACTAAGAGAATTAGTCAAAGTAAATAATTATGAAAGTTATATTCTTTCATCATTTGTATTATTTGAAAATATATCAATTATAATTCATAATTAAGATAGATTATTAATTCTAAATTCTAACTAAAAACAACATATTATGTGAAAAATCATTTAAATAAAATATAAATTATTCAAATTTATTAATAAACTTAAAAGAAATAAATAATCATACATTTATAAATGATAATTATTTAAATTGATATTATATCTATAAAAGTACTTATCTATTAAAATACTAATTATCTTTCTTAAAATAATAGTAAAAATTTTCATATTCTTAACATGATCACAAAAAGGCTAATTATGATATTCATGATCTAATTCAAGCAAACGTAATAATAAATGCTTTTTCTATGAAAAAGACCTATCATCTTTCACATAATTTATTAGCTCAAAATTTTATTTATTTTAAATATCAACTTATTTTACTGAATAATTCACTTTAACTTTTTTTTCATGAATGTATTTTCAGAATTTACTTCTTGGATAGACACAATCAGTGAATATAGGATTTTGTTTAATTAAGCGACAGAATAGATTTATAAAATTAACTAAATTATTTAAATACAAAGAGAATATAATATACACATTTTAAATATTTCTTCTTAGTTATTGATATTACCCTTTTTCAAAGCTAATAAATTGATTTGGATAATCTGGGGATTAAAATTAATAACTCTCATTCAGATTTAAAGATACTGAATACCAATTAATAATAATACTATCTCGTAAGTTGACCTATTGTAATTCTTGAGCAATAATATAAATGGGTGGCGGTTTAATTAAGTTGTATTCCATTTTTATATGAATATAGTCTTCTGAAAACCTTGGATTGTTGCTATTTTGTATCATGCACATGATTTGAAGCATCAGATTCCATTTTTTCAAATTACTCCCATAATTGTAGTTCTATTAGATGAACTATTTTCTTATTTTCATTAAGCTAAACTTAAGAAATTACTTATTAAAAAAATGAATTTACTCTATGATATCATTATAATACAATTTTAATTTCCTTTTTTTCTTTAACACTTTCTTTTGAGTATTCAAAATAATATTTCTAAATGATTTTTTATGAATGAGAACCAAATAAATAGTATTTTTTAAGTTACTTAAAAGTTATTAATCTTTAAGTATCATGAATGTAGGAAAATTTGAAATCATTTAATTGAAAGTGATTTGGATCATTATTTCAATTATCAATATTACAGGCAGTTTCTTAATGCTTGAAATATCAGATATAATTATGAATATTATCTATTTTCAAAGGAAAAAAGAACTTAAATTATGAGTAAAATGGATTTTATATATTATTTTGGGCCCCAGTTGGCTTGTGAAATAGGAGCTTTTCTATAAAAAAGTATAGAGGAATGGCAATACATTGAGTATATTTGGTTTTTGATTAATGATTGATATATGAATTAAGTGCACTTAACTCTGAATACTATATATAATAAGAGTAAAATAATTTACAATAATATCTAGGTTCGATAATTTATTTAAATCACCATTAATAACTTTTCAGTTTTTGTACCTTCTTTATGAAATTAATCTTATTACTCTATAAAATAAAATTATTTTGAATCAACTTCTATCATAAATAAACATAAATAG